CAAATTAAAATTAGTGTGTCAGATTGGTCGAGACGCTACATATTTTAGGGGTGTGAAAAGTTGAAAAATGTGAAAAGTTTGATCTCCTTTGTTCTAGCCATTGTTACCGCATGGCCAGCAAAATTGCATGCTGCATCTGTAGGTCAAAGGAATTTATGGTCATCTTAGCCTAGGCATTAGAATGAAAGTAAAAGGAGGGTTTTGGTAAAAAGGTGAATCTTTTGGACCAGTTAAAATGGCCTCTCCTGGGTGCTGGGATCGCCTTTTTTGGCCAAGCAAGGTGTCTGGTGGTTGTCTTAGCCTCCTTATCTGATATCACTGGACGTTTGTTTGTGTTAGTCCATTGGCATCCAATCAAATTGTAGCAAACCATCCTCCACTATAGCAGTTAAAGAGGGCTCATTTCATAAACTGGCCTGCCTGGAAAGTCATCTTGTCTGCTGGTGCACTACATGCATATGTTCACATTTCAGCAAAGCATGCTGATTTGCATCTAAAAAGTTCAGTGACATGTTGGCCAAAAATGCCATTCAGCTGATTAATCATATTATCAAGGCTTGCTTAAAAGCTGTGAAAAGGTAAGTCTTTCCATTAACAAATCTTTGTGCTGTGGTGATAGGCTATATTGAGTTTGTTTTAGTGCAACTATAAAAAGCAATGCACTTAGCTTCTTATCAAATTGGAAAATGTAAAAAACATGTTTTTCAATAACATGAAAAATTCAGAACCATGGACAGTGACAGTTCTGCAAGACTATAAATATTGATCAGTGAATATGGATTATGATATTGAGTGAGTTTAATGTTAGATGAATACTGAAAACAGCATAAACATAAAACATAATAATAGATTTATGTTAATTCAACACCTTGTCAACAATGTTGCATACCTCATAAGGATCACAGCTCTGTATCACACAAAATTACAAAAACAGAGATGAAAAGACAAGAAAACCTGGACTATAGTTTGTTTTGTAAACTATTTATGAGGATTTCCAACTTGTTTTAGAGCAGTCGGTCACTCCTTTCAAAAACTATTGAAGTGGATAATGTGTGATTGAGAAAAACATAAAAGGCAAATATATGTACACTGAAGAGTATGCTCTATAACAGGGGTGGCGAACATCGGTCCTGGAGAGCCGCAGCGCTGCAGAGTTTTGCTTCAACCCTAATCAAACACACCTGAACAAGCTAATCAAGGTCTGAAGGGTTACAAGAATGCTACAGGCAGGTGAGTTTTAATTAGGGTTGGAGCTGTACTCTGCAGGGCTGCGGCTCTTCAGGACCGGAGTTCGCCACTGCTGCTCTATAAGGTCAAATAAACAATTTCCAACTCGTTCTGGATCACTACGACTCTTTTTTCTAAAGCTATTGAAGTAGACCATGTGTGAATGGAGAAACCCATACAAAATGTCATTAATAGGTATGAAGCATATAAAGCAAAAACTTGTACAATAAAGAATTGTAGCTTGGTCTTTGAGACTAAATAAAGAATTTACAATCTTCCTCGGATGACTTGATCTGTTTTTTCAAGACCTATTGAACTGTGTAAGGTGTCAATGAAAAAACCAATGCAATACGCTGGGAGCATAAAGCAATAACTTGCACAATAAAGAGTTGTAGTATGTTCTTTATGATCAAATAAATATTTAGCATTTTGTTTTGGAGCTGTGTGACCCTCTTTTCAAAAGTTATTGAACTGGATGCTGTGCCATTGAAGAACCCCATAGAATACAGTGATGATAGAAATTGAACATCTACAGTAAATAATAGCACATTAAAGACTTGTAGTATGCTCTTTAGGTTCAAATAAAAATTTTCCACCATGTTCTAGAATAGTCCATCAAGCTTTTTAAAAGCTATTGAACTAAATGTTGTGTCATTGAAGAAACCAATACAACACTTTTTTATGAAGTAGTACAAATTGACCATATAAGGAAAATTGCTGCACAATAAAGAGTTGTAGTATGTTTATTAGGGTGAAGTTAAGATTTTCCAATGTGTCCAGGACCAGTCCATCAAGCCTTTTAAAAGCTATTGAACTTAATAATGTGTCATTGAAGAAACCACAGTAATAGCAACAACAAAAAATACACTTGAGGCACAAATTGTTTATTAAATATATTAACTATATAAATGTATAATATATCAACATGCTCTGGAACGTTTTCAATAAAAGCAAGCAGCGCTTTTCAGCTCAAATGAGTCTTTAGCAACTTTCCATAAAAGTGTCATGTAATTTGTAGACGGTCCCTCTGGTGGTGATGACGTCACATCATTCCATAGGCATAAACGTGTTTTTCAGCCTTATAAAAACATCGACTTCTGCAGACAAATGGATTGTAGGAACTGCTCATTATAGTCGGTAATGAAAATTAATTGTAAGTATCCTTTTTAAATGCATATTAACAAAGCTATTGAACACGGAAGTCCGAATGTGTGAATATAAAACCAACTTTACCGCAGTCCTCTCGAGTCGGCCGAGCTAGCCGTGTTAGCCCGCGTCTCTTTGCCACCTCGTTTGCTGCCCGGAGCTGCCATGAGAACACACAGTATCTACCAACTTTATGACAGTGTGTGTTCATAAATCATATCCCAGCGAAAGAGTAAAATAAATAAACTTCTAGGACTTATTATTATTTAATTGAAATTTCACCTGTGAGGAGCTCACTAAAAACGCGTCCACATCGTGTTCGCGCAAGAGCGCCCCCCCATACAAGAATACTTTTGCGCAAAAAAGCTAAAATAACAACTTTATCCAACAATTCTTCTCCCCCGAGTCCCCCTCTGTCTCCATTGTGGAGAGTTTCACGACGCATGCGTGTATTACGTCAGCAGCATCACACGCATGGGTTGTTTACGTGCAGATCATCGCATGCGCATGCCACACTTTGATTTATTACGTAAACCTGATTTTCTTCTTCACTCTCGTTTTAATATTCCTGTAAAACACTAAGCGCCACAGACTGTACCACAGGCTATTTATATTGTGTATAAAGTGTGCTTTCTCATATGTTTGGCTGACTGTATTTTATGATGATCGTGAACGGGCTGCAATGCGAGAAATGTGTGTGCGATCACTTGAACTTCTTCCTTTAAAAAGTGGAAACAACTTACAATTCTCCCTCATTTATGGTCATACAGATAAGAAATGCATCATTCAAAACTATAAAGGATTCACTTTTATTTGTACATTCACAATAAAAGCAAAACATTGTGCTTTTGTAAAATAAAGGAAATGAACAGGTGGCCGATTTCTGCCGTCTCACTTTCCTTTCCGTGAAGTTGTTTATGGAGCGAATCACAAAAATGAACCGAATCTCTGCATATAGGCTACTACTAGTCACAGCTTTTCTTTCATTTAGATAATTTATCAATTATTTAAGAACGGGTTTTATGTATAGGCCTAAGTATTTCATATTCTAGTGTCTGGAAACAATGTTTCAAACATTTTTGTAAAATGAATGAAAAAGTGATGTATATCTGTTGGATGTTGTATTATCAAACTCTGAAGTTGATACAAATCATTGTTTTACTCTTTACATAAAGGTTTACAGAACATATTTGTGTTTTGCATTTCCTCATTTGTTCTTAAAGTCTTAACTTGACCCGCAGAAACCCTGTTTCCTTACGACTAAATGTTAAAGCTTTTAGTAAAAAAAATAATAATTCAGAATAATTTGCTTGTCATCCAAAAGAGAAAACACAAATGTAAAATACTTGGCAGCTGTAACTTATTGTTAAATTGTATAATTTTGTTTTACATAAAGCACAAAGCTGTGGGAAATAATGGTTTAGACCTGTGCGAGTGGGATTCAGACCTCAGTCCAAGTTTAAAAAAAGGAAAAGATGCATGTAAAAAAAACTCTGATTGGCTGAAATGCTTCAATTTGATTGGCTGGCACTGCAATCTAGTTCTACACAACTGGGTGGCAATAATAATGGTGCCACCTGCCATAACACTGAAGAAGAAGAAGAGGGATTCAAAGGAAGGTGTGGAAAATGAAGTGATCAAAAATGAATGAGGTATGCAGGAAGGAACAGGAGAGACGAGACAATAATATCGAGGCTCAGGTTTGGACACACTGGACTAAATGCATCACTGTTTAAAACAGCTCAGGGAAATATGATTTCTGTCGGCAGGAAGAAACCGTAGAGCATGTTATGATATATTGTCAGAAATATGAAAGAGAAAGACAGTTGATTAAGCTTAGGAGAGCTGAAAATACACTTTGATTTAATTGATTTACTGCAAACAGAGTCAGAAGATCAGTTTTACCATTTCTTTTTTCAACATCTTAGAGAAACTAATTGAAGTTGTTTTTCTTTAACAATATATATATATATCCCCAAACATAGGGAAACGTTGCACATCTCAAAGCATGCAAAACACAACAATAGCAACAACAACAACAACAATAAAAAAATGAATACAAACATATAAATACAAAAGTAAAATAAAAAATAACTGTTTTAACTATATGTATAGTAAACATTCTGGTCCATATTCCACACTATTACCAGTTGGTAATGCAGCATTTAATGTTTGCCAATAAACCGGAAAAGAAGAAGAGGAGGAGGAGGAGGAGGTGTTATGCGCATGCGCAGCTCTCACTCTGCGGCGACTACTTTGAGTCGAAAACGAAAGTAAACTCGAAAGGAAAATGCGAAAGTTTTGAAGACTTAAAACCGGTCTTAAACATCATATTAAGGTGAGTTTATTCATCGGCTTCTGGTATTATTCCATATTATTGTAGTTATGTTTAGCATTGGCGTCTCTGTCGTGTTATATCCGATCTTAACACCATTAATAGAGTTGTGACGCATGTAAAAGTGGATGAAGCTGCTCAAGTTCATCTTCAGGATTATAATCATATCGAGCTCTAGATTCTGCTCTTAGTTCAGATTCATTTACGGATTATTTACAGTCGGGAATATAGGCTACCGAAGAAGGAGATAGTCTGAAATCCGAAATAAACGAGTCTGAATCCACACATGCTGCAGGCAAAACCACTGAAAGCATGAATTCTTTCTCAAAAATTAGTTCATAAGCCATCGTCTAGCGATCTCGGTCCTCCACACTAATTACACATCTAAAATGATCGTTATTTGATCGTTTTCTGAGAAGTCTACCCTCCTAAATATGTCCTTTATTGTAAACAGTTGTGTTTGTGCGTATGAAACTGCTTGGCTGGCTGCTTTAGCGGCGGTCTTCAGCAGGAGACAGCGCTGTGTCTGATGTTTAGGGAATTGTAAAAAACTAGAATATTAGATTAAACGACTTAATTTAGTGAGGATACCATGATTGACAACATGTGGTTTGATACCTTGCAGCAGACATTTTGTAAAATGCATTTTTCATGAAAATTGTCACTGGTGTTACCTTCCTACTGGGTAACACCAGTGAAGATCAGTTTATGCTGATGCTCTTTTACTAACTGCTTTCACTGATTGCCAAATGTATGCCAAATGTAACAATTTAGTCTTATCTACTTAATTGTAGTTAAAGAATAAGGATCTTTGGTCTTATGTATGTCACTGGTGTTTCATATTGTGTCACTGGTGTTACCTTCCTACTGGGTAACACCAGTGAAGATCAGTTTATGCTGATGCTCTTTTACTAACTGCTTTCACTGATTGCCAAATGTATGCCAAATGTAACAATTTAGTCTTATCTACTTAATTGTAGTTAAAGAATAAGGATCTTTGGTCTTATGTATGTCACTGGTGTTTCATATTGTGTCACTGGTGTTACTTTTTTCTGTCACATTAAATAAAATGCGTCACATGTGTCACGATAATAATTTTACATCCATTGAATTCTGCTTCACTCAAGAGTTAAGATGTAAAGCATTGCATCATTACTTGTTTATAACTGTTTTTACAAATATTTTGATTGTTATGGCAAATACATGGTTGCGTAAATGAACTAACATCATTCAATCACACTGTAAACAAACCTGATTAAAATAAATAAAACATAATCTCCTTATTTGTTGCATTATCATCATTTTTCTGCAACTCTGACTACATGTACTAAAAAATTGAGAAATAATATTTCATAAAAACCTTAAAATTGCCAGAGAAGTAAGGTAACACCAGTGACAAAAAATGGTACATGTGGTCTTTAAATAAATGCACAAAAAATATAAAAAATCATTAAGCTGTCATTTATGTGTATTCATAAATTCAAAAGATAATATAATAATGTGGTCTAAGTTTAAATGTTAAAAAAAGAAATACATTTTAAGACATCTTGCCATACCAAAAGTGGACTTTTCTGTAGAATGCCCCATATAAAGTGCGGGACTTGATTGATATTAAAAGGGTTATTAAGAGCGGACTGACGGTATATCACGATATACACAGAATTACAGTATTTCACAACATCAGTCTTGGCGAGTATTCACACCGAAATGATCCGTTATGCTTTAAGTGAACGTTTGGTTTGCTGTTGGGGAAACATCTGGGGGTCTACCATATACCCGGCGCAATGTGTTTTTTGCTAGTTTCAGCTCGACACATTATTTTCACGTGGTTTAAATAGCAAATGCACCTGCGCCCATCTGTGAAACCAGGTGTGTTCAAGCGCATTGTTGGCGACTGAAGACGATTGCGCCATTGACCAACTAAAACCTGGTCTAAAGTCAATGGCTCAGCATTTTGTATTTATTTATTTATTTAAAGGGCACGTTAGTAATATGAGCATATAGACGGGTGCACAACGCGCAGCAGCACACAAACAGCACTACATTAAACTATAGATATAACGTTGAATATAATGCACTGGGTGAATATCGTGAGTCCTGATGTCAAATGTCTGATTTTACCAGTAATACCACGGTAGCCAGTGACAGTTAAAAGCATATAACGTATTTTCAGCTTCAGAGTAATGAATATTTTTATTCTGGTGTCACCATTGCCCTGTGTTCAAGTTCAGTTCAATTTAAGCCACCATCCCAAATTCATACGAAATTTGTAATTTTAATCAACAGTCATTTTTTGTTAACTTTTTACCTTATGTCCAAGAAGATATAATAATAAAACAAAACACACCTGCTTTAAATTGACTTAAAATATTGTGATAATATTGTATTGTGAGTTCAGTATCAAGATATGAAGGACAAATCATGTTGAAACTAGTTTCTTGTTTTGCACCGCTTTCAAAACAATTGCATAGAACGGACCTGTCTGAGCTGACCTGTCCTGTTTTTCAGCCCTCTGAAGTATATTTATAATTTACAGGCCAAAATGTTTAAAAGCAGGTATGTGTGATATCTCAAGAATTATGATTGCTGGCCTCATAGAAATTACTTATATCTATAAACTGATAAATTAACATACAAATATGAGGCACCACCACCTTGCTTTCACGTTAAAAAATAAAATGTGCTGGAATAATATGATTACAGTGAAATGTGTGTGATTGTGTTGCTGATCGTGTTTGTTTGGTGAACACAGCGAAACTCATTGTGGAGAAGAGCAGCTATCACACATTTGACAAATATAATAATCTGCAGGTCTGAGATTTGAGGGGTTTCCAGCAGCGCTTCAACAATGAAACATCAGCTCTGAATATAATCTTCATCAGATGTGAGGATCAGTTAGTTGATGTGTGTGAGTGACGTCACGTTACAGCAGCAGAAACACATCCAGCTCTGAACAGAGTCCTGCTTTTCTCCTGCTGCTGAAGTCAGATATGTTCAGTAAGACACAAGAGCATCAGTGAGCTCAGATACTGACGATGCTCATGAGGAGCACTCTTCAGATCTTCTCCACTGCAGTCAGTAAAGCAGCACTTTATGCATTCAGAAGAACAAACTGCTGCAGCTCCACATTCTCTTCAATCTCATTGTGTGTGCAGCGTTAAGATTGCTTTTCACTGCAATCACTGGAATAATAATCACTATATTACGTGTCATGTGTTCTCTTGTGTTTCCATATGCAGGACTGAAGTCAGTTTGTGATTATGGAGAGCAGAGAGAGCAGAGAGAGATCTTCATCTGCTGATCACAGCTGTGTGTCTCTGAAGAGTGACAGATCTATGTCTCCTCCTCTTAAATTCAGTGATGATCCAGTGACCTCTGACCCCAGGTGAGATATAATCCAGTGTTAAGGTCAGTTGATGCTGCACTGATAAACACTGACCAGCGTGAACAATCACTGGATCACAGTTCATCATTTCTCAGACGCTCCACGAGTCGACAAGTGCTGCTTCAACATGTTCAATCAGAGAAAACACAGACTGAGAACAGCAGCAGATTCAGACAGGAGTCACACACTGATCCACAAACCAGACCAAGAGTCTGTTTCCACTGTTAGTGAAGCACACACTGACTTACTGTTACAGCTGCAGATAACCAGCATTTACTGATTCATCTGAGGATTGTTTCTGATTCATCGGATGAAAAAGTTTAAAGGGGTCCTATTATGCTCTTTTACAAAGTCTTGCTTTTGTTTTGGGGGTATACTAGAACAGGCTTTCATGCTTGTTGGTTCGAAAAACGCATTATTTTTCATATAATTTACATTATTACAATACCTTTCTCCCCAGCCTGGCACAAACGGTTCGAATAGTTACGGGGTTTGATGAAGGCCTGCCTTCCAAAAAACGGAATGTGTTGTGATTGGTTAGCTGTCCCAGTGCGTTGTGATTGGCAAACAGCTTAGACGGTGTTTCAGTACTGCCACGCCCCTTGCCAAAGCAGCAAGTTCCGTCTGCTCCGGTATAGTTAAGGATGGCGTCAATATTGCCATATCAATTTGAGCCGGATTCAGACCCCAAGAATATTGAACAAGAGGATCGCGGAGAACCTTTGCACACACGGATATTGCAGGACATATTAGAGTGATAACGTTATTGTTTTTTTTTTGGCTAAATCATGTTTCCGAAAAATGAAATGTGTTGTGATTAGTTAGCTGTCCCAGTGCGTTGTGATTGGGTGTTTCAGTACTGCCCCGCCCCTTCCAAAGCAGCTAGTTCCGTCTGCTCCAGTGTAGTTAAGGATGGCGTCAATATTGCCATATCAATTTGAACCGGATTCAGACCCAGAGAATATTGAACAAGAGGATCGCGCAGAACCTTTGCACACACTGATATTGCAAGACATATTAGAGCGGTAACGTTGTTGTATGTTTTTTTTTTTGGCTAAATCCCGTTTTAGATAGGATGTCAACAACCACTTAAAAATAACTGCATTTACTATGTACAGATAAGTGCATATGTATTATGTGTATTGTTCTTAAATTCTAACATTGTAACATGAACTGCAGTGAAACTGTTATACAGTTGAATTTACAGGTGCATCTCAATAAATTAGAATGTCATGGAAAAGATCATTTATTTCAGTAATTCAACTCAAATTGTGAAACTCGTGTATTAAATAAATTCAATGCACACAGACTGAAGTAGTTTAAGTCTTTGGTTCTTTTAATTGTGATGATTTTGGCTCACATTTAACAAAAACCCACCAATTCACTATCTCAACAAATGAGAATATGGTGACATGCCAATCAGCTAATCAACTCAAAAC